GGTCTTTTCGGGCTCCGCAGCCACGCACTCATTCAACTGAGAAGGTCGTTTTGGAGAAGAAGGGCAGCCTTTCTCCCCCCCCTCCCCCAAATCTCCAATTCTCCAGCGCGTGTGAACCCACAAATCCTGTTGCCTTCCGTTGCAACAAACACACCAAGCAAGGAAACGCGGGTTACGCGAAACCCAAGGGAAAGCAAGGCATCTCTCTCGGGGCAAGAGGGCTTCTCCTGGCCGTTTCCATCAACCATGCTTCTTCCCCACCCCCTCTCCACTTTGCTCTCGAGACCCGCACCACCTTTGTTCACAAAGCGAAACGTGTGTGCGAGGAGGGGTGCGGGCAAGAAAAAACACCCGGACCGCTCGAGACATTTGTCTGCCTCTCTACAAAGGGAAGGTGTAATCCACGCTGCCTCCGGATAGGTAAACACGGCGCCGCACGGCCCAGCGGGGCAGCCGAGCGGAACGGCAGAGCTGCTGGACGCGGGCACGTGCTCTCCGGAGTGGTTTCCTTGCGAGGAAACGAAGGAGGCTGGATCTGAAGGAAGCCATCCTTCGCTAGGCGGTATACTCGATCCCGGTACCAACGCGAACCAATGCGTGCTTCTGTCTCGTGCACAGAGTCCGGGGGGGGGGGCGGAGAGAGGGACTCGGCGCGTTTCGCTTCCATCGCTTGCTGGCCCAACAGCGGCGCAGAGCTTGGCACGGCGCCGCGTGACATCCGACAGCAATCCCAAATCCCTATTAGAATAATTACGTTACGTTATTTTTTACGAGACTTAGAACGAAGGTTAACTTTTACGCGTGGAAATTAGAGGACAGAAGAGGAGGCGGTGACGGCTGTACTGTATCAGAATACGGCAAAATGCTAAACGTTTCAGCGGATGCCTTACAACACTTCGCGCTTCCAGTCAAGTCTGATTTTCCCTGCCAAATATCCGCAGCCCAGACATATGGGAAAACTGAATGATAACCCACATTCGTTTCCCACAGCTGTGTGCGGCTGAAAACGGGAAAGGACCGCTGCTTTGGGCTCTTGGTGCACAGGGGAACGGAGGTCTTTCTCAGGAAAGTACAGTATTTGCTTATGGGGACCGCTCTTGAACTCCACTGCAGGATGATACCAGGTCTGATGCTCATCACACCTGTCGTTATGGTCACTGCTGTTGCAAAAGATCAGCAAACCCTTTTCGCTTGCATCCAAATTCTACTGAACTGTCAGTAGCTTTTTGCCTTTCCTTTATTTTCCTCGCCGCTCATTGCTCTCTACAGTGTGTCTCCAACTGAAGTTAACAACTAGAATGATGTGGTGGGGGTGAGCGATAGGAGAATTAAGTTAACCATTAGAATCTGTGCCTGTACATTTGAATCCTATTTGGATGTATTTTTCAGAGCCAGTGTGCTATCCTGGTTAGAAAGCTGGAGTGGAGACTTGAGAGATCCAGGTTCTGCCCCCCCCCCACCTCAACCTCAGGTCTCGGTTAGTGGTTCTCAGCCTTGGTTTCCCGGATGTTCTTGGACTAAAACTCCCGGAGAGTCTGGCCAGCACAGTTATTAGTGAAGGCTTCTTGGACTTTTAGTTGAAGAACACTTGGGTACTCAAGGTTTGGAGCCACTGCTGTAGGTGACATGAGGCCAGCCATTGTCTCAGCCTGACCCAGTTAGCTCACACAGTTCTGAAGAGGACATGAGGAGGAGGAGACCCATGTTTGTCACTTTGAATCAACTGGAGGTGAGGGAGGATATAAATGCAACAGTGACTAAATAACAGGATATGAATCTGCTCAAGTAGACTCTAGTTCCATAAAGTGTAACCCATACATTTCTTAGTCTTTAGGGTGCCACGGGGGTGGTTATTCAGTGCTGTGGCCAAAGCAGCAAATGTAGCTGCTTTATCTCTAATTATAATTTGGAAAATATCTTTATAAAGAAAATAGTCAGGAAAGCATCAGGAGCATCTGGTTGGCCCTGATAGGCAGCAGCAAATGTAGCTGCTTTATCTCCAATTATAATTTGGAAAATATCTTTATAAGGAAAATAGTCAAGAAAAAAAAATCAGGAAAGTATCAGGAGCATCTGGTTGGCCCTGATAGGCTAGTGTGCTTAAAGGCAGAACTGGACGAATCTGCCAGTGGATTTCTTAAAAATAATGCATTACAGTATTTTGTTCAACACCACATCTACAGTATTAAGACAGGAAGCAATCAACTCCACAAAATGAGAGGAGGGGTGGAGAAAATAATAGATGTGGCAAAATTAGCTTGAATGGGAGAACTGTGTCCTTGTGCAGTTCATTTTTACAAGGAAGAGAAAAAATGGCTAAACACAAGCAAAGAAACAGGACTTTCAAAAATGTGAAAGAAGATGTGCAAGTAAAGCCGCCTGAATTGGTCCTGAATTGGCTAGATAGGCGGGATATAAATAAAATAAATAACATCAGACACCAATGCAATACCACTTTTCAATTACCCTTGTCTATGATGTCTGGCCCCTTCAATGCAAGTAAATAACATCAGACACCAACGCAATACTACTTTTCAGTTACCCTTGTCTATGATGTCTGGCCCCTTCTCAGACACCAATGCAATACCACTTTTCAATTACCCTTGTCTATGATGTCTGGCCCCTTCAAGAATTGCTGCCTTGTCGTGGCGAAGGTTGGTCCATAAACTTGGATTACTGTGATGTTGAAAGGTCTGCCTTGTGGGTACATAAATTTGGATTACTGTGATGTTGAAAGGTCTGCCTTGGATTCGTATTGAAATCATTCTATCATTTTTGAGATTATATCTCAGTGCAGCTTTTCCCATTTTGTTGACTATGAGGGCTATTCCATTTCTTCTACGGGATTCTTGCCCACAATAATAGATATGATAATCATCTGAATTGAATTCGCCCATTCCCGTTCATTTTAGTTCACTGATGCCCAGGATGTCAATGTTGATTCTTGCCATCTCCTGTTTGACCACCTCCAGCTTCCCAAGGTTCATAGATCTTACATTCCAGGTTCCTATGCAGTATTTTTCTTTGCAGCATCGGACTTTCCTTTCACTTCCAGGTGCATCCTTGGCTGAGCATCCTTTTAGCTTGGGCCCAACCAGTTCATTAGCTCTGGAGCTACTTGTACTTGTCCTCCCCTTTCCCTCAGTAGCATTTTGGATGCTTTCCCACCTGAGGGTCCCATCTTACAGCCTCATATCTTTTAGCCTTTTGTTTCTGTCCATGGAGTTTTCTTGACAAAGATACTGGAGTGGCTTGCCCATTCCTGCTCCAGGTGGATCGCATTTAGTCAGAACTCTCCACTATGACCTGTCCGTTTTGGCTGTCCCTGCATGACATAACCCATAGCTTCTCTGAATTACTCAAGCCCCTTTGCTACGACAAGGCAGCAATCCATGAAGGGATTCCAAATTATCCACACCTTTTTTGTTCCCTCTTCTGCTTTAGAATTGTTGTTGCACCCAAAGTTCTATGTAAGGCCCTTATGTATTATTGTACACCCTGGGGTTTGTATAAGACAAGTTTAAGTAGTACTGGAGACTGCTTTAAACAACCTTGAATGACTGGCCAAGTACTTCTCTTGTAGAAAATGACAGGTGAAGTGTTTCCAGGGGGGAAAGTTGTTAGAGGCAGTTTCTGAAAGAGGGTGCCTTTCTCTATCTCCCAGGTATTCATCCAAGATTTTATAATCAAGGTGTCTGTAGAAATAGCACAAGACAGCAGTTTTGACTCGGAGGCTTAAAGAGGCAGTCATTTCAGATGGGTAAGGATGTCACAAGGAAGGGAGGTGTAGAAAGTACTTGTTCTCCAAATCTGAAATTTATTTAGTAGCCAGAATCATATTGTGTCTGCTCAGCATGAGTGTGTGATCTTTTGGTGACTGTTGCAGCCTCAGTTGTGCACCCAGGCATGTGACAGGTGGCCAGAAAATTTCAAAGTCCAGTAGTACAATTTCTCTCACAGCAGTTGTATTTCACAGTAGGTATCTACTTGTCATTTCACACTGGATTGTAATGATACACTGTGTGTGTGTATGTGTGGGGGGGGTTATGCTAACGTATCCCTGTGTAGCTTTCTCTCCCTTCAGAAAAACTCCTGCAAACACCTATGCAAGATGGAGCCTGTAAGGAGACAGCATTTTGAGGGATTAAGTTGTCTCTCCAATGAGATCTGCTGAGGAAGCAGTGCCTGCCTGCTAGCATGTTAAGCTGTGTTGCAACGCACATCTGTAAATAAATGCAAATGGTATTAAAATTACTAAACTCACCAGTGAGATCCCTCCAAGAAAAATGAAACCTGGCTTAATGCATTGGTCCTCTGGAATTTCTCACCACTTGAAGAAGTGAATGAGCACCACATTGTGAAGCATATACAGTACTGCTGCTGCATGCCACTTTC